ATTACTTCAAACAATTGTATTTTAATATTTGTTTGTATTACTGTAATGTTTTGCATTTTATAAATAAAAAAATAGTCAATCATAAAATTCAACTGAGCTTGAATTTTTCTAGTGAGTATAATAATTATGTTGTATAGGTCTATTGACCCTGGAACATAAAGTACTCGATGGTTTTATCTACCCCGATCATGTATATATCACGTTATTAATATTAATATAAGAAATGTTCGAGTTTAGTGTGGGAACTGAATTTGTATTCAACAAAAGAAAAAATTTAGCTCTTTGGGAACAACTAACTAATGAGATCTTGGAATAGCAATTTTACGTCTTTTTTTGCCACTTTATATTTGTAACATTTTGTCGAACAACATTAGCCGAAACTATTTTTTAAAAAAAGGGAGTTTCGCCCAATATTTTTATAATAACGAACATATAATAAGTATCTAAATCAATCTACTTAATTTTAAAACAACTTGGAAATGATTTCGCCCAATTTCAGTTATTGTTATTATTTTCTTCCAAGTTTAGGCCAACTAATTTCGACAATTTTGGCCTACTAAGTAAGGTAGTTTCGGCCACACCACTAAATAATAATATTATTATATTTGAACTGGTATTATCAAAAGTGGGTATAAATTGGCATTTTTTTTTTTGAGAAACTGGTATATAAAAACAGGGTAGGGCTAAAACAACTGTCCTATAGAAAATAAAAATATAGAATTGGTACGGAATTGGTATGCAGAATGCAAAAAAAGTACAGAAAAGATTGGGGTGTCCTACATTATACGATTTTACAAACATAGTCGATCACATATTACTAGGCAATATAATATTGAATATATTCTTCTAGAAGAAAAAACTTACGAACCTCCAAAGGACAATGATTGATGAATCTCGTAAGTATTGTCAATATATATATATGCTTTTTTACTTTGAATAATTTAACCAACTAGTAGTTTATTTGAAAAAAAAAACTTCTATTTTTGAAAATGGAATGAAAATATTAAATCAAATGGGATAGAGTATCTGCTATTGAAAATTAATTAATTCATCTAAATTCATCCAACTCATCTGATGATTTTTTAATTGATAAATTTATAGGAGCGATTGCATTTTCTAAACTAAAGTAATTATAAATCAATCAATCAATTTATATATATATATATACATTTACTATACTATAATAAGTGAAATAATAAATTTACATTGATTATAGAGACAAACTTGTTGATTTTTTAAATACATTTGCAAAAGATGTACTTTTTCTGTATCTATATTAATTTTCTTTTTATGTCTAGGAAAAGATAAGCCAAAGAATTAATAATCAGAATGCAAATTAAATTTTTTTAAAATATATATACACAAATATATATTATATAAATGAATGAATATAAATAAAAAAATTGTCTTGTAAAAACTAAAAAAACAATTATATTATATCTATATACACACATATATATATCAGATGGTTTGTCCAATTGTTTCCTCATTCTTTAAATTATCATCATTTTCATCAACAGCAACTTTCCGATCAATTTCTACAAATTCAGTCACCACTGGTAATCGATCAGATGCCATCTTCAAAATATCTTTAGCTACTTCTCTTCTCATATTTCCACCACCTATCTCAAACACAATCTTATTCATCGGTACACGACAAGCCCAATATTCGAATGATCCTTTACCCTTACCCATCCTAACTTCATTGCCTTTAGCAGTAACTGGAATGTCTGGAAAAACCCTCATCCAAAGTTTTGCTTCTTTTATTGGTTTTAACTTACGTTTTAATGCATTACGTGCTGCTGTCAACTGAGCTGAAGTTAGACGTACTCCATATGTAACTCTTAGACCGTATTCTCCAAATGCTATTGTATTACCTTTTGTTGAGCCACCTACACGTACCGGAACTCTACCTTTATGAGCTTTACGGTATTTAGTTTTACGTGGTGCAAAATCTGATCTGTAACGTCTTTGTTCTAAACTTAAAAAAATATTAACTGGTTTTTTTTTTATTGTTGTTGTAGTTGTTGCTGATAAATCAAGAAAGTTAAATAAAGATGTGTATGTAGTAGGTGGTGCAATGGTAGTGAAAGGCAAGAATGATTTATTAATTGTTGAATAATGATAATTTTTTTGTTTAGTGAATTCTTTTAATAATAATAAATTATTATTATTATTATGAAAAAGCATCGATATTGTATTTTGAAGAGAAAAAATTTTTAAAACCATTTTTTTTAAAAAAATTTTATTCATCTAAACCAAATACATTTTATTTTATTTCCAACCAATTAGAAAAATATATATATAAAACAAATCAACAAGCTTTCTCTCTCTCTTGTATGTAGGTTTATTTTTTTATTGATAATTAATCAATAAATGAACATGATTAATCCAAAATATTAATTAATTAAAATTTTATTTAAATAATTTATATGTGAAATTTATTAAATTAATCAACTTTTCATCTTCTCTTGCCAAATTGTAATCCATCACTTCCACCATGAGTATTAGGTGTAGGCTGTTGACCCCCCCCCCCCCACACACACACATTTATATACATTTAGACTTATTAATAAATAATTTTAATGTGATATTAAAATATATAAATGACATATTATAAAACAATAGCAACATTTACCCAATTCTGTTTTCCAAAAAATTCTCCTTGATGAATTCTTCCTGACACACCTCCCCTGCCACCGTCTCCACCGTCACCATCACAGTATCTCAATGATTGAGTATTACCATCAACACGAGCCGGACTATCACCTCTAGTTCTACCTCTTGATTGTAGTATTTGCAAAAATTGGTGTGATGATGTTGATGATGTTGATGTTTGATCGACTGTTGTAGTTTTAGTACCAGTTATTACGCCTGATGTGGTCAGAATAATTGTAAAATTGATATTTTGTATTAAATCTGTTATTGTGTCAACATTGATAAAAGGATCTACCAAAAAAATTATTTTGGGAAATAATAGATATAATCAAACATTATGTAAACCTTTGTTTTTAAAAACAAGTGACAATAAATTTATTTTTCTTCATACTAGTATAACTTTGTTGGTGGCAGTAATCTTATCAAAAATTTTGCAATTGAATCTGGTAACATTAACCTGTTTGGTAACATTGTCCAAGTGAGAGGCTGTTGTATATAATTTTGAGGAGGAGGTGGTGGTGGCGGTGGTGGCGGTGGTGGTGGTGGTGGCAATGATGGCTTTGGTGGTGGCGATGATGGTGATGATGGTGATGAGGGTGATGATGATGGCTTTGGTGGTGGTGGTGGTGGTTGCTTTTTCTTTTTTTTTTCCTATAGTTAAATAAAATCAAATAATTTTATTCGTAATTGTTTTTTTTTTTTTAAAAAAAAAATTATATTTATGATCTCAGCATGATATAGTTCTTATTTGAAAAGCAATGACTCAGAAAGAAAAAAATTAACCACAATAAAATTGACACCACATTAACAAATAATGCAGAACAATTCTTAATCCATTTACACTACATTACCCAAAATAATGCAGAAAAATGAACCATAATAAAATTGACACCACATTAACAAATAATGCAGAACAATTCTTAATCCATTTACACTACATTACACAAAATAATGTAGAAAAATGAACCGTAAAGGAAAACTACTAGCATTATTTTTTTATTTTTTTTTTTTATTTTTTTTATTTATTTTTTTTTTATTTTTTTTATTATTTTTTTTTTTTATTTTTTATTATTTTTTTTTATTATTTTTTTTTTATTTTATTTTTTTATTTTTTTTTATTTTTTTTTTTATTTTTTTTATATATATATATTATTATATTTTTAAATATTATTTTTTAATAATGCTAGTAGTTTGGTAATAAATTTTATCATAATCATTGCTATTTATCTAGCCCAATCAGTGTTGGCAATTTAACTGGTTCAAACCTTTTTTTGAACTATTTGAACTTTTGAATTGTTAATTAGTTAAATAACA